TGGAGTCCTGCATCGGCCTTCTTGCTCGGCGGGGAACCTGCTTCTCCCTCTGCCTGCCCCTCCCCCTGCTTGTGCTCTCTCTCTCTCTCTCTCTCTCTGACAGATAAATAAATAAAATCTTAAAAAAAAAAAGAGGATTTTATTTATTTGAGAGACAGACAGAGCACAAGCAGGGGGAGAGACAGAGGGAGAGGGAAAGGGACACTCAGACTCGAGCCCCATGCAGGGCTTGATCCTAGGGCCCTGAGATCATGACCTGAGCCAAAGTCAGACACTTAACTGACTGAGCCACCCAGGTGTCCCTTGATGACTTTGCTTCTAATGTAGAAGATGAATGAATGACATTGTTAGCTTCAAAATTTTGTTGTTTTCACACTTTGTTTCAAAGACCAGGAGGAAGGTTGCAGTAGAAATAATAGCTACCATTTATTGAGTACCTTTATGAATCCCTATATTCTGAGCAGTGCTTTCACACATGTAATTTGTATCTTGGGGCAGCCTTGAATGTCTCAATCTTTTCCTCCAGCAGGCATTGTTTGCTTTATGTTGCCTGAGGATTTTCCAAATATGAAAGGGAAACAAGAAGAAAAGTGAATTTGAAAAGCTGAAGATGTTGTCCGAAGAGCTCAGTTTAGAATTATCTTATTCCATGATGGAAAATACAGTGATAGTGACTCATGGGGGTGTTTGGCTTTATTACGTTCTGCTTTCCATCCTGTGCTTTGTATATGGGCTCTCTCCTCTTTTGCACAACTCTCTTTCTCATTTTTATCCATGAGCTTTTAAAAAGAAAAACAAGGCAGCTATTGGGAGATAGGAGGATTATGTATGCTGAAGTTATTGATGTCAGTTAGTTGGCTTGCTATTTAAATTTTGAGTGAGAAGATGGGCAAGTAAAGTAAATGGATCAATCTGAACATCCAAGGCCTGTGTTTAGTCAGAGGACAGGTTCCTCCTCTGGTTTTGAATGCAGGTTGAATGTTTTGAGGAGTTTCCACTTGATAGGAAATAAGGGCACTTCAGATTCCAGCACTGTTCTTCCCACACAGGAGCATACATGGGAAGAAAAAAGATTTGTTAGTGGTTAAGGGGTTGGAGGGAAGTGGAGGAGGAATGAAGAAGGGAAAGGTTTGCAAATGCATATGACACTGAGCTAGAGGGGTCAGTGCTGCCTGCAGATGCACAACCCCATTTGTGCACTTGAGCATGGCCTGAGGGAGCATTGGCCTGATGAATGGAGAGAGAGATGCGTTTTGATCGAGGTAATTTCCCTCAGATGGGTCTCACCATCCCATGAATCAAAACCTGTCAGCAAGGAGCTAAAGATGGAGTGAAGTTTATTGTACGTTTGTTTCCATGCGACACCGTCACGCTAGAAGGGTCAAGTGAGAGAGATCATTAGAACTGTGTTGATTTACTGGGCCTGTTGTGCACTTTCCCTGCTGCAGGGCAAGGGGGAAAGAGGCTTTAGGAGGGAAGCTGAGGGGCTCTGGATAGGGAGGGAAGGGCAGGCATGCACAAAATAAAACCCTCACTGGTCTCTGCGGGTGAGGGGTGGGCAGGCTGTTTGTACGGGGGTGGGAGGATCTCTATTGTATTTTTTTTCCCTAGAGACCCTGGTAGATTTGCAGCAGATGCTCTGCCTGGATGTCCAGGAGAGACACCAAAGGTCTGATTAAAAAGGGAAGCTCATGGAGAACTCTCTGATCTTAGCCTTAGTGGCTAGAGAAGTGTACCCCTCTTCTTTCCTCCCTCTCTCTTTCCTTACCTTTGAGCTCAAAAGGAAGCACAGAAAATTTAATTTGGAAGTCAAAATCCCTGTTTCAGGTTGTAGCAAAATAGAGAACCAGAGAAAAGGCTGTCCCACACATTCTAAATAGACATAGGCTTTGTGATGAGATTTGTGAAGGGAGTGGCCCCAGGGTTTGTGCTGAAAAAACATCTGGATTTTGAAAGTACCATCTCCCTCTCTGTGATTTGAGCTTGCTGAAATAACCCTACCTCTGAACTGAATGAAAATAAGTATGTAGTTGGGGCGCCTGGGTGGCTCAGTCGTTCAGCGTCTGCCTTTGGCTCAGGTCATGATCCCAGGGTCCTGGGATCGAGCCCCACATCAGGCTCCCTGCTCCATGGGAAGCCTGCTTCTCCCTCTCCTACTCCCCCCTGCTTGTGTTCCTGCTCTCGCTATCTCTCTCTGTCAAATTAATTAATTAAAAAAAAGAAAAGTATGTAGTAGTAGTTCAGCAATATATGGTCTAGTCCTGCCTTTCCTCAAGAAGGATATGGGATGCTCCTTTTATTACCCCTAACACTCTGCTTGGCCTGGAGACTTCGTGAAATGGAGATATTTCATCTAGAATATTCTATAGAGATTCTCATTTTGAGTGCCCCATTTTTATCTCTTACTTTATCTTAATGGTGGTAGACAAATTAAAGAAAACATTTCCTAGTAACTTTGGTAAGGAAAAATATACGAGGGCTGTGTTCATTGGAAATCTTCCTAATTCTTTTATTACAGTTCAACAGATGGAGTAGCCAGTTAGGCAAAATTAGAAACAAATTCAGTTGAGAAAATCTTTAGTGCAAGATTACAAACTGGAGTCCTTTCCCTAGATCCCAGACAGTTATAAAGTGGAGGCATATGTTATGGTAGAAAGGGGATGGGATCCTAGCATTGACCCAGGTTATTTGAGTGATATGGAAGTTGTTGAACTAGTTTACAGCTACCTTTAGCTAAGGATCCTAGTGATCCTTTTTCCTTTGGGAATTAAGCACTTCTTCCATTCTGCTACTGTTCTTCCAAAGAAAGGGTTATGTGAGATACCTGAGGAGATGGTAAAGCTAGGAAAGTGGATTCTTGAGTAAAATGTCCTGGATTCCATTCCTGGCTCTCTGCCACTTACTACTTGTGAGACTTTGGGCAGGTTACTTAGTTTCTGAAAGTCTCTGTTTTCCTATCTATGAAATGGGTTTAGTCATAGGACCTACTCTGTATGTCATAGTGCCTACTATGTTTGAGATGATTATAAGAAATAAATGAGGAGTGTGGCTGGCTCAGTCGGAAAAGCATGCGACTCTTGGTCTTGGGGCCATGAGTTCAAGCCCCACGTTGGGTGTAGAGATTAATAAAATAAATAAATAAATGAATAAACTTAAAAGTAAATGAGATATTGCATGTAAAGAACTTTGTACAGTACCTGGCACAAAGTAAGTACCCAGATGTTAGTGACTGTAATATTATTCATCATTATTTTAATTTCTTTTTTTTTTAATCTTTTTTTAAGATTTTATTTATTTACTTGTCAGAGAGAAAGTGCGCACAAGCAGGGGGAGTGGCAGGCAGAGGGAGAAGCAGGCTCCCCGCTGAGCAGGGAGCCCGATGTGGGACTGGATCCCAGGACCCTGGGACCATGACCCAAGCCGAAAGCAGACACTTAACTGACTGAGCCGCCCAGGCATCCCTAATTTCTGATTATTATAAACAAGAATACTTTTTTGGGGGGCACCTGGATTGCGCAGTCAGTTAAGTGTCCAACTCTTGATTTTTTTTTTTTTTTTTAGATTTTCTTTATTTATTTGAGAGAGTGAGCGAGAGAGAGAAGGAGCAGGGGTAGGAGCAGAGGTAGAGGGAGAAGCAGACTCCCCACTGAGCAAGGAGCCTGACTCGGGCGGGATCCTGGGACTCCCAGATCACGACCTGAGCTGAAGGCAGACACTTAACCAACTGAGCCACCCAACCCCCCTCCCCACTCTTGGTTTTGACTCAGGTCATGATCTCAAGGTCCTGGGATCCAGCCCTGCATTGGGCTCCATACTCAGCGGGAAGTCTGCTTCAGAATTCTCTCCCTTCCCTCTGTCCCCCCCCGCACCCCCGCACCCCCCCCCCCCCCCGCGATCATTTCAAACTATTCAGAGCCTTCTGTGACACTGCTGGGCATTCATAATGCTTGGCTTTCTTTTGTACATTCTTCACAAATACCACTCTGGCCTCTTTCCCTTCCATCCCTTGGCAAGTAAATGGAACTTGTTAGCAGTGTTCAACAAGTAGTTTGGGTGCCTTCTACCAACCATTTGTCCTCGGGTGTTACTCACCGAAGCCTCAGTGTTCCATATCTCTGAACTACAAGAATTTCCGCAGAAATTTGTTGTATGGGTATTTCTTATGTTTTCTTGACTCCATGTGTCTTATGAATATTGAAGTACTACTTAAAATTAAGTTTTTAGTCATTCTTTTTTTTTTTTAAAGATTTATTTATTTGACAGACACAGCAAGAGAGGGAACACAAGCAGGGGGAGTGGGAGAGGGAGATGCAGGCTTCCCGCGGAGCAGGGAGCCCGATGCGGGGCTCGATCCCAGGACCCCGAGATCATGACCTGAGTTGAAGGCAGATGCCTAACAACTGAGCCACCCAGGCACCCAATTCTTTTTTTTATATATATATATTTATTTGAGAGAGACAGAAAGAGCACAAGTGGGAAGGAGGGGTAGAAGCAGACTCCCCACTGAGCAGGGAGCCTGACGTGGGGCTCAATCCCAGGACCCTGGGATCATGATCTGAGCCAAGGGCAGACGCTTAACCAATTGAGCCACCCAGGCGCCCCAGTTTTTAGTCATTCTTAGGGACAACATACTGTATGCTTCTTTATTCAGTTTCCTGTCTATTTTTTGTTTGTGTGATCCTTAGTTTCTGGCACAAGGTTGGCTGGCATATTGTGACCATTAAGTTATAATTTCAGGGGCACCTGGATGGCTCAGTCATTAAGCGTCTGCCTTCGGCTCGGGTCATGGTCCCAGGGTTCTGGGATTGAGCCCCACATCGGGCTCCCTGCTCAGCAGGAAACCTGCTTCTCCGTCTCCCACTCCCCCTGCTTGTGTTCCCTCTCTCGTTGTGTCTCTCTCTGTCAAATAAATAAAATCTTAAAAAAAAAATAATTTCATTCTCTTTTATCTCATGAGTGGAGGCTAGCTTGTTTCAATTCTTTTCTTTGTCCCTGAATAGTCTGAAGATGATGAGAAACTGAAAAAGAGGAAGGAGCGATTTGGGATTGTTACAAGTTCAGCTGGAACAGGAACCACAGAGGATACAGAGGTAAAATATACCTAGAGTGCTTCCTTTCTTGAAAGGAAGTGAGGGTGAAGAAATGTTATTTCCCTGGCCTACTTCTTCAGTGCCCAAATAATAAGATCTTTTTGTTCTTTGCTTAACATCTGTTTTCTGGATAAAGTAGCCACGCTGAATTCCATCAGTATACTTAATTCGGTGTTAGAGCCATTTAGCTTAGAAAGGAGCACAAGATTTGGAATCACAAAGGCTTGGATTTGAAAAATGACTGCCATTTAGTATTACTTACAAGTTAGGCAGTTCTCTGAGACTCAGTTTCATCATCTGGAAAGTAGAGATAATAAATACCTACCTCGAAGTGGTATTTTAAACTTGAAATTATTTTATGTAAAAAGGGATGATACTATGTAAAATGTTTGACACAAAGCCTGTCATATATTTAGTAAGTAGCAGTGTCTCTGATTATTTGCTAGCCATATTTGATCATTTAATGAAGGCTTATCCAACTCAGACACAAGTATATTTGTGCCTAACTCCCCTCTGGAATACCTCAGTGGACTGAAATGAGACTTCTTGTTCTTACCACTTTATTTATAACTAGTTTCTTAAATGAAAGAGTGGCTTTTTTGTTTGTTTTTTAAAGACTTGTGTTTAGGGGCGCCTGGGTGGCTCATTTGGTTAAGTGTCTGCCTTCGGCTCAGGTCATGATCCTGGGGTCCTGGGATCGAGCCCCGCGTCGGGCTCCCTGCTCTGTGGGACGCCCGCTTCTCCCTCTCCCTCTGCCTGCCACTCTGCCTACTTGTGCTCTCTCTCTGTCAAATAAATGGGTGAAATCTTGAAAAAAAAGCAAAAAAAAGACTTGTGTTTGTCCATATCCCAGCTTCCTCTGGAGTAACTTACATTAACGGAGACCCTGAGCATTGGCAAGACTACTCAGAGTTTTAACAGACAATATTGATTTGGTGATTTAAGAGTATATGTATAATGGGGGCACTGGCTCATTTGGTAGAGCACGTGACTCTTGATCCTGGGGTTGAGAGTTCCAGCCCCATGTTGGGCATAGAGATTACTTAAAAAAAGAGAGAGAGTATCTATAATGGAGACCCAAAGTGTCACCTGTGGTGTACATAAAGAGTTGAAATAGTGAATATGTTTAGAATTCTAAAAATTTCTTGGGTCGTTGAAGCATTTGCAATGTTCTTTCTTCCTTTAATCCAAATTTACTTCTTTCCATCTACTTCTGGAGATGGATTTTGTTTGTTTTAAAGTAGGCTCCATGCCCAGTGTGGGGCTTGAACTCACGACCCTGATTTCAAGAGTTGCATGCATGCTCTACCAACTGAGCCAGCCAGGCAGCCCTGGAGAGGACCTTTGAAAATCTGTTACCTCACACACTCAAAATCTTATAAAGTCTTTTTATGAATAAATATCAGAGTGAGTCTTGTAAATAAACCCTGAAAATTTTACAGTTTGATCAGTTTACATCTCCAGTAAGGAAGAAACTTGAAAGACTTTGTATTCTTTGTGCTACTAATTCAGAATAAAGCATTACCTGTTGTAAGTATCAGCTTACTTACTGACTTGCCAGGATGAGCTAGAAGTAAACTTAAAGGCTTGTTTTAATTCTAGTAAAATTATTCCCTCTTTGCCAAGGAAACTGTTGAACCAGCCAGGTTTTTACTAAGGTAGTACATTTGGCTTCTCCAAGATAAGGCAGATGATTTTCTTGGTTGGCAACAATAGTAGCTTTTGTTGGGAGAGTCCGTGCATGTAAGGCAGTCGTAACTTCAGAGGTTGATGGAGTTCACATGAACCAGATGACTAATTTATTTGATTCCAAAGAATTGTGTCAGTAATCCAGGTAGAGTGGGCTGGGTTTATACACACTCATCTTTTCTTTTTAAATCTAAATTTAACCTCCTGTGTGAATGGAATGGGAAAATAAGTCCCCGGTTGCCTGGGTGGCCCAGTCAGTTATGCATCCAACTCTTGATTTTGGCTTAGGTCATGATCTCGGGGTTGTGAGATCGAGCCCCACTTCGGGCTCTGCACTGGGTGTGGAGCCTGCATAAGATTCTTTTTTCTCCCTCTGCCCCTCCCCTACCTCCCTCTCTTAGAGAAAAAAAGTCCCCTCTTTGCTGGGGGCAGTGGTTAGAATGGAGATGAAGGACTCAGCACTGTTTTCAGTCACTCCCAGAACAAAAAGTCTTTCTCTCCTCCCCCACTTCTCATTTTGTGCCTCTCTCCAGTGCTGACTCCCTTTAAGAGATCCATGTTGAGGACTCCCCTCTTTCCCATTTACTCTGTTGGCATTGAAGATTTATATGCCTCTCTCTGGATTTGGAGGTCCAGGGAATAGCTCCTGCTTGGGCCTTACTGCCTAGAAAGGCACCCCCTTTACCTTCTCCATGAAAAAATAGCATCGGTCAACCCTTTGTCCTCTGAGATCTCCCATCTCCCCACTGACTGGAAGATTCCCCAGTCTGTTAAGAGTCCATTGTTTTCGGGGCACCTAGGTGGCTCAGATGGTTAAGCGTCTGCCTTCGGCTCAGGTCATGATTCCAGGGTCCTGGGATCGAGCCCCACGATGGGCTCCTGGCTCAGCAGGGAGCCTGCTTCTCCCTCTCCCTCTGTCTCCCCCCCCCCCCGCTCATGCTCTCTCTCTCTCTGTATCTCTGTGTCTCAAATGAATAAATAAAATCTTTAAAAAAAAAAAAAAAAGAGTCCATTGTTTCCAGACTAATTTGATATAAGGCTGAGTGGCCCTCTCTCCTTCAGGAATCTACTATTATTCTCTTCCTCCACTTCCCCCACCCCCTACTCCCTGCAGTCTTCTCCCCTTCTTTCCCACCAAACCTCCCCAGCTCTAACTGGATAACTAGAGAGATTCAGGAATGAAATCTCTGGCTGCCAAGCATAAGCCTGTGTCTTCCCTCCTTCTTGGACCTTATGATAGTTCATGTGAGTTTGGATTAAAGCAGCCAGGAACCCAGGCCACTGTTGTCTTGCAATCTAATTTTTTTCTTCTTGCTTCTTTCTCACAGGCAAAGAAGAGGAAAAGGGCAGAGCGCTTTGGGATTGCCTGATGAAAAGCTCTTAATGCTTTCTGTTCTCCAGTGGTTTCCAACTCTCTGACTTTTCTTGGTCATATATATACCTAAATGCACAGTCATGTGCCTAGGTTCTGCCTCGCAGTGAGAGAGCATGTACCCTGGGTACATCCAGGAACTTCAGCAGCAGTTTGACTCATTGCTGTTCCAACTTTAAGGTGGTTGTTGTTGTTGTTTTTTAATTATTATTTTGCTTGTTAATAAAAAACAAATAGAAAAGAAAACAATGTGTTTTATTAGGTGCTCCTTTGGGTTCTTAGAGCCAGATTAGACCAGATAAGGGGAGCTTCAGGGACAAATATTACAGGGAATTAGCCATAATACCTTTATTCTTTAGAAAAGAGAACAAGGAAAAGGATTTGAGTATTCCTTTAAGCCTATTTATTCCCTTCTCTCATACACACAGGCATCTTTATATACTCTTTATCCTCCATGAAGAGGCCAAGTTTCACCCTGAATCTTTGCTTTGGCAGGTTGGCATGACCCATTGGGGTAAAATAGGGGGAACACTGAGTTTTAGGTGTAAAGGATATAAATATAAGGGCTGATGATTGCTAGTCTATTATGGAATGGAATCCAGAAGGGCTCTGTTTTCAAGAGTGACCTGGTGAGATACTGTCTGGTTTTAGCCAAGGCAGTATGTAGGACCCTGTTGGTTGTGCAGTTCAGGAAGGGAGATGGGCTGGGTATACCTCAGAGCTAGAAGAAAGTGTAGGGATTCAAAGCATGACAGGATGTTAGAGGTGTTAAGTATTGTTGTCTAGATCATTGGGAATATGAGCAGTGGACTGGCGGCCTCTACTTTTTTTTTTTTTTTTAAAGTTTTGTGTGTATGTGTGTGTAAGTAATCTCTACACCTAGCATGGGGCTCAAACTCAGGACCCCAAAATCAAGAGATCAAAAGCTGCATGATTTTCGACTGAACCAACCAGGTGCCCCTGGAGGTTTCTATTTTCTTTTCTTTTTTTTTTTTTAAGATTTTGTTTATTTATTTGACAGAGAGCGAGATCGTGAGAGAGGGAGCACAAGTAGGGGGGAGTGGGAGAGTGAGAAGCAGACTTCCCCCTAAGCAGGGAGCCTGATGTGGGGCTCGATCCCAGGACCCTGGGATCATGACCTGAGCCGAAGGCAGACGCTTAACAACTGAGCCACTCAGGCGCCCCAGTTTCTATTTTCTAATCGAGTCCTGTGCTAGTTTGTCTTCTTCCATTACAGAAGTATACAGTTTTAGTTTCAGCGTTTCTTAAATATTACCAAAATCCGTTTTCCTTGCTGAGCCTCCTACTTAGAAAGGTTTGACTCTCTCCAAGCAGGCTGCCTGTTTGCATTTAATGTTTCACCAAGATCTGAGACATGCTACTTTTCTTTTTGGGTATGTTGGTGTAGGGTTTCTCCTCTTAATCTTTATTTCTGGACATCTGTATCAGGTTGGTTTTTGTTTGAGAATTAAGAGCCTGGCACCTTACCTGAAGACTTTGATACCTTGATCAGATCCTGTGTTGCTGTGGTGTAATTCCTTATTTCCATTTCTACTATAACCTCCCTGGTTTTGTGATTAATAGAATAGAAAAGTAATGGTTTGATCCCCTTCCTAACAAGAATCTCATTCCACAAAGTCTCTTTGGTTGCTGAGTAGGGCAGGGACCTAAGTTTAGATGTTTTAGGAAAACTGTGCCTTGGAGAGCAGATGCAAAGATTGCCCATTTATTGTGAATTTTGCCCCAATTTGATTTTGGAGAGGTGAACAAAAGGGAACACTGGTTAAACATTTCCTTCCCTCCCTTCCCTCTGGCCTCTTTTGTTTGCCTTCCTTTTCTTTTCTCCAGGCCCTGATCTTGAGGCTAACTTTTCTCTCTCTACTCTTATTTCTCTCTGAAAACAGAGCCACAGAAAATTAGTTGTTTTGTAGCTTGAGAGAGAGAGAGATTCAGTAAGGGTTTTCTACCCAAGGATGGGAAAATAAGAAATAGGTAAAGAAATAGAACACTGGGTCCTTCAGAAGTTTTCTTCACTTTGTCTCTATCTTCTAAAACCTTCCAGAAGGGAATTCAGCCTTCCCCCAGGATTCTCTTTCTGAAGGTTAATCATTCTTTTCCCCACTCAACTCACTACCCCAAATCTTTGATACTGTATTTTTTCTCAATTTGTGGATTTTTAAATAACTTTTTTCATCCCGTTCCAGCAGCTGTTCTGTCAATAAGTCTCTCACCTCCAAGCCTGATCACCAAATCTTCCTCTTCCTGTCTCATGGTAGTCATTCCATGCATACTTTTTGAGCATGAAAGTTCAGGGTGCCTATGTCTTTTTTTTACTAATTCAGTCTTAAAATAGTAAGTCCCTTTAAAAGCATCCAGGCTTGCAGTTCTTTATCTGGGATCCAAGTACCCTTCCTTCCTATCCCCCAGTCGCCCTGGTGTAGTTGATCTAGGATTCATATGCAGTTAGCTGACTCCAGTCTTTTCCCTGTCCTGAAGCTGTGACATTCTCTGCATACCTGGGAGCTCTTAATGAGGGAGTCTATAAAAGATATGGAGGGAACTAGCTTCCTCAGCTATAAATCTGCACCTTTTTATGGTTCTCTAAGAACCATGGGATCGGTTTCTTTTTCTCCACCATCACTCTAAATTGCCCTTCCCCCTACCCCAACTCCTGGGAACTTTTGAATATACAACACTAGAAGCTTTTGTAGGGGTGAGAGCTATAGGAAGGAAGATGTGAATAAGAGCAGGACTTCTCAGGGTTGAGTCCTATTGCCATGTCTGACATGAGAAACAGATGAGGGGGAAGGAAGGAACTTATATAAGGGAGAATAACTTTTTCTCTATTCTCTTTCATGTGGACCTCTGACAGACAATGTTGTTCCCTCTGATTATTGAAATCCGCTAAAATGTAACCTCCCCTTCTTGCTACATGTCCACATTCTTGTTTTTCGTTTCAGAGGGATTGAAAAATAATGGCAGGTTTCACACCTTTGCAGACCCTTTGTGCCCAAGGTGGATCCCAGCTGTCTCTTTATTTCTTTTCTTGTCCTTTGCTTTCCTTGCCTTTAGTTTTTCAGCTTCTTAGATTACTATTAATAGAGTAGAATATTGTGTAGTACTTAGGTGTAATTCGTTCTAAGATCTAGCTCTGCTGGCTCTGAGACTGGGCAGATCATTCCATGACTCTTTCCAGTACCAATAGCAAGTGACCCTATTGTGAAGGTTGCTCTGAGAATTGATAATAGATTATATATTCAGCACAATTTGCTTACCATAGTTTGCATAGTAATCATTCAGTAAGCTCTTTTACTAGGTGATTTACAGTGGAAATACTTCTTTTCCCTGAGTAGGTTCCAGCTAGAGGGTAGGGAGGGAGCTGAGTGGACTCATTTGAACGTGTTGGGGCACTGCATGTATAGGTGCATTTAGGGGTTCTGAGAGTGGGAAGAGGTGGGAGTCCCAGTTGCTCGGTTATCCCACCTCATAGGCAGGAAAGCTGACCTTGTAGCCTGGGGCATTGACTTCCCTGCTTCTGCCTCACTACAGATCAGAAGCTGTAAATGCTATTGCCTGCTGGTTCTTTGCTTGGGGCCCTGACATCCAACAAACAGGCCAAGGAACAGTATAGGATAGCTAGCTACTCATGCATCGGGTTGGAGGTTGTTTAGGGATAAAAGTCATCTGGCAATCTCTTCTGGGTATCCTTTCAACATAGGAAACAATGAGCAGTGAGGGAGAAAACCTATTTTTAGCTCAAGCCAAAAGCTAGGAGTAGGTGTGGATAAAAATTCTTTGGGAAGATACCATATGTAGCACTTTTATCTTCCCTCAACCTCACTCTTGTAGTTGGTCTGCGGTGGGGTCAGTCTACTGACAGAACTGATAGGACAGGGAGAGTATGGTGGCACACTGACCCAGCAGTGGCCCTGGCCCCCATTATGGATCAGGTCAATGTGACAAGAGCTGTCCTTGTTCTTTTTCAAATGTGAGTTAGGCAAGATTCTTTTGTTTTAGGTACACAGGAGACATTTTTATGGTGAAATCAAAGACTATTTGAGATGCCTAACCATCTTGGTACATTTACAATTTGAATGGCTATGTTGGTTTGGTTTGTGGATTTTGGTGAAACTTAGTTAAGGAAACAGGATCAGGGAACTATGGAAGAATGGGACTGACATTAGCTGGATTATCTTAAGAGAAATTTTAGATCTTCTGTTATGTGAAGGCTGGGAGAGGGTTTTGGTAATCTTTGGGACTGTTTTGGATCAAGTTTTCCAGAGAAGAGTTGTTCTAGGTCCCTTCCCTTTCCCATTCTCTGCCCATCCTCCCTTGGACTGTATGTCCTCACCCTCATTCCATATGCCCCTAGTGTTTTTTTCTTGCTCCAAAGAGCCCCATGTTCTTATTCCTTGAGCACAAGGTTTCATCCTTTCTCAGATCCTCTTTTGTTCTGGTCTCCAAGGTGTAAATGTGGTGCTTGATTAGGGAGAAGAATTCATCACTGAATTCTAAACTCTTTGACTGCTTTTATTTATTATTTTTTTTCAGGTTCAAGTGCTGGATTGTGTCATGTGACCATCCCAAAACTCAGAGCACCCTATGGCCATCTTTGCCCTCTGTCACATAACTTGAAAACTGCCTGATGGCCTTTTTGCAATGGTTCCCTCCAGGAAGCCTTGATCTCAGTGAAGAAGTCCTTTCCCGGCATTCCAGTGCCCCTGTCACCCCCATACTCCTCAGTCACCCTTAACAAACAAAGGCAATCACACACATGGTGTAACAAATACACAAAGTAAATAATAATTACACTACCTATGATCAGAGGGGCACTGGCCAGGTCCACACACATCATAACGTGGGAGAAGGGTTGCTAATTCCCACTAGGTTGCTGGACTGTGCCCCCAAGCCTCTTTACCCCATGCCTCTTTGGGGGTGAGGAGGACCAAGGGAATGAGACTTCAACTCATAATTTATGTTCAGAAGAAAAAGACCCTTCCCCCCCCACACAAAGGTCTTTATTTGGCGGTGTTAAAGGGGCATATTGTAAGTGTCCCCCAAGTCTAATGCTCCAGCTCTCTAGAATTTGTAGAGGGAAGTCACCTGATGTCTATTGTCCAACCCCCACCCTGTGCCAAGATCAAGAGACATGAGCATTTGATCTTGGAGGAGGCATCTTCTGTTCTTCTCTGTTCCTCTCCTTCAACCAAGGAAATGTGAATGGTGTTGATGGTCAGGTGTATCTTGTTCTCCAAGGTTGGGGTAGAAGGATGGAAGAACAGGGCCAGAGAGGAGAGGCTGGGGGTTAGCGTAGCTGTTACATGGGAGGCGAGTTGAAAAGCTTAACAGCCCCTGCCCATTCCTGTACCAAAATACCTCATCTCACTTTTCACTATGGGAATGGGAAGAAGATACTAAAGCTCACCAACATCACCTTCCCAAGGGTGGTCAGATACCTTTGCCCCTTCCACCATCTGGGCCAGACAGGAGAGTCATCTCTTGGGAAGAACAAGCCTTCCAGGTCAGCTCTCCAGGTCAGGCTTTAGTTCAGTACTGTTTTCGTCAGACCCATAACTGCTGGCTCTACTTAGAGTGATAGTTTTGCTGAAGGTTCTGGACCTACTCTCTTGACATCCTCTCTTGACATTCTCTAGGCTCTTGCCTGGAGCCAAGAGGTCTGGTGGTGAGGTATGGATAGGGTGTGGATCAGGAGATTTCTCAACTCCTTAGCTTCAGGCACTGTCTGTCTGAGAGGCAGAGGGGAACTTGTACTCTGAAGCCTGTGACTCCTCTAAGCCTCACATCTCTTCACCACTACTCTGGTGCCCTGGTTATCTGTTCCACAGCGAGAGGTATTTTATGTCCATAAAGTGCCCGTGGTAAGTGCTCAGAATTCATCTCTTGGCTGTGGCGGGTGCTGCTATTTCTCATTCCATCGAGGGGAAGAAACTGAGGCACAGTGAGTCCAGAGGATGGTGGGTCAGGATTGTGGGAGGGATGAATAGGCCCAGCTAGTAACTGGGAGTGGCGACCAGTCCCTGCCTGCTTCCTAGCCTTCCAAACCAGGGAGTCTCCATCCTTCCAATCCTCTGCTCTAACTGGCCTTGTCAGATGCTTTTCCCTTCCCCACTGTATTGTCCCCTCCCTGCTGCCAGGTACTGCTAGATTCCAAAAATAAAAGATAAAAATAATTATAGACACTCTGCTCCCTTGTTCTCCCCCCTTCCACCCTGAGCTTTGGGGTTGGGGGAACTAAAATGTCCCCCCTCCGGAATCCCTTCCATCTTGGTCTGCTGGCTCTATTCCCTAGCCCAGAGCAGTGATTTGGATTCAAATGCTCTGTAACCTTCAATCTCCTTACTACTCCTTTCTTCACCCCTCCTAACCCTTCCCAGACCTAGGACTCTGGGATCTCTATACTCTTTTTATTGACCTGAAGATAGAGGCTGGGAGTAGGGGTATTCCACAGGCTCTTTGGTCTCTCTCTTGGCTGGGGGGAATTTGGGCATATGTGGGCCACACCCTCTGGCTAAATAACTCAGGACTATGAGGGTGGATCTGAGGGTTAGTTTAGTGGCTCTCATATAGATCCTGGATGTTGAGGGCCCTCCCCTCCCCTTCCCTCCACCCCCAGCTCCTAAACCCTAACCTCGTACTGTTTCTGTGACTGCTGGAATTCAGTTCAACCCATTTGGCTCAGGAAGGTCAAGTTGGGTGATTATGGGTTGGAAACTTTCATGTGTTAGCCCTCTTGCCCTCTGCTCCCATTCCCAACCCTGGAGGCTTTATACAAGTGCTTAAGTAGGTGGGTATTGAGGGAGAACAGGGCTTTGGGGAATAAGGGAGAAATGGGGCACAGTGGACAGGGGCCCTTCTATTTCAGTAAAGCCAAATACCAAAAAATGAAAAATCACAATAAATAAATAAATAAAATTCCCAAATCCTTACTTTTGCCCCTGCCCTCACTTCCCTTCCCTGGCCACTGTTGGAGGGAGAAAGGGAAGAAGCTAAGAATGGATTTTTGATTTCCTCCTACTGAGAATGGTAGTCAGGGGATCTCCCCAAACCATACCAAGCCCCTCACCTTGCCAGTGGGAGAAAGGAGGCTGGGTGTGGGGCTTTCTCTTATTACTCCATTTCAGCCTCTTTCTCATCGTTTATCTCTGCCTGGTCTCTGTCTCTTCTGCCTCTCTCTCCCTTTGCCTTCTCACTGCTGCTCTTTTTGATCCTCTGTCTCTATCCCTCTGCTCTACCTCTGTCTCTACGTCTCTCTGTCTTCTTGCCAAACCTTCTCACCTGCAAACCTCAAACACTCCCCACCTGACCATGCCCCCTCTTCCCCCTGTTCCCCAAACCCCTCACCCATCAGTCCCCACCTGCCTCCCTCTGTTGTATTGCACACTGCTTGGGCAGGGAACAAGGTGTGATGTTCATGGGAAGAGGTGGAAGGAGCTCTAGGGCCTGGGGGTAGGGAGGTCAGGGCTGGGGGTCTAGGGGTAGGGTCTATGGGGGAGGCATCCTCTGTCCCCCACCTTAGGAGCAGCCACAGCGATCCACCACCATGCCAGGGATCTTGCCGTAGATAATCTGCTGCTTGTCATTGAAGTAGAGCATGTTGATTGGGGACATCTTGGTGGGAGTACAGCAGGGCCCAGCAGAGCCTCTTGGATTAGCCTGTTGCACCAAGTGGGTGTGCGGATACTTTTGCATGAACATGTACTCGCACTGGCCGGAGCAGTAGTTGGCCTTGTATCGTTTAGGCGCAATGATCCAGTCCCAGCCAAAAGCCTCAAAGTCCACTGTGAGGGGGTATCGGCAGCAGCGGGACTCACTCGAGTGCTCATCGCAGTCCAGGCCCAGGTTCCGCCGGGACCGTTTTGTGTTCTCTAGGACCCGAAGCTCCATGAAAGGATGCTGGGGGTGAGGGAGAGGAGAAAGAGATGTAATAGAGCCCTGAAGAGTGCTACTCCCTTTCCTTTCTCATCTGCCCCTCAACAGGGGCATCAGAACAGAGACCATTGCCTTCTCAGCTTTTCCCTTGCTCCTATACCCAGCCCTATCTTCTGCCTACTTTTTTCGCAAGCTAGCTATCTCCTTCAACTCACCTCTAATTCTCTCCTGGCAACCTGACCCTGATCAGCCCCCTATGAGCAACAGCCCATTTTTGTGTTTTCGTGGATCTCCCATTAACACCACCCCAAATCCAGTTTCTAGCTGTTGCCTGGCTTGTATCTGAAAAATGATAGCTGCCACTCCCCACCCTACCCGCCCCCCAAAAACTGCTCCTCTAGAATCAGCTTCTGGCCCCTAGAAATAAGGCTGGTGCCCGGCCCCTTCTCATTCCTGATCTACCTTCTCCTAACATCCCACCTCCTCAGGGCCAGGTTACACATATCTGCCACCATCTCAGGCTCCCTGCTCACCAGCCCCTCAGCTCCCGGCCCCAGGGAGGTGACAGCCAGGTCTGTGCCACTGGGATCAAAGGCGTTGATCTCGATGCCCCAGTTGCTCTGTGGCTGTCGGAACCAGCTGTGTAGCACTTGCTTGAAGTCGATGCTCTGCCAGTGGCCTGAGCGTGAGTGCAGCTCAATCTTGAGTGAGCGGATACGGATGTGACGCCGGCCTCCGCCCCCTCCCCCTGCAGTCCCTTCCCCAGTTAGGGGTTTCAGTCGCAAGATCTGCAGGTAGACTGTGGCTGGGCGGGGCACCGGCCGTAGATACACCCACAGCTGGGCCTTCAGTACCTTTGTGAACATCACCTTGGGGCTGAAGTGGAAATGGCAGCAGAGAGGGCTGCCATCTGTCTGCACTGCAGGGTCCGCTGATAAGAGAGAAGGGGGCACAGCATCAGCAAAGGGTGTTTGTGAAGGGCGTCAGCAGCATTCTGACATTGTGACAAGTGGCACTGGCAACTTGGACGATTCAGCCTGAGTTTTCCAGTTCTTTACCCTTCTCTTGTGTCTGTCTTGTTGACCACTGTGTCACTGGTACTCAGACAGTGCCTCCTCTCCCTATAGGATGATGTCTCTATTAGGCCTTTCTGATCTGCATCCATTCCTTAGTCCATTTGTCCTAATACATAGCACCCCCCATACCAGATAACCTGCCCAGAGAGTTATTAGGGATATCCCCTCCCACATGCAGCCTACCATTCCCCCAGCATGGAGGGCTCCAAAGTTTTTAGAACTTGGATGCTCTTCATAGAAGCCAAACCTCGTCACACCTGCTGTTCTCGGGCCGCCTTGTTTTGCCTGCCCTGTTTTGTATGGTGGCCAGGTGGGAGCCTTGGTACAGCCCCCATTCCCAACCAGATGATCTCAAGAGTGGATAACCAGGGTCCAGATAGGGAGCAGGGGCTAAATGTATTCCATGAGGTAAACCAGAATTCAGATCTAGGCTTCTTGCACCATTCCTGCCGGAAACAATACACTCAGAAGAATTGATCAACTCAAGTGCTGACTCTTGTGCATCTGACTCTCCAGACCCTTGAACCTGAGAACAAGTTTCCTCGCTGTTTCCTCCTCCTCATCACCATTATTGCCTCAATTTTTTTTTTAAACGTAATCCTTTTTTTTTAATTTTTTTTTTAATTTTTTATTTATTTATTTGAGAGAGAGAGAGAGAGAAAAACAGCATGAGAGGGGATAGGGTCAGAGGGAGAAGCAGGCTCCCCGCCGAGCCGGGAGCCCGATGCGGGACTCGATCCCAGGACCCCGGGATCATGACCTGAGCCGAAGGCAGTCGCTCAACCAACTGAGCCACCCAGGCACCCTATTGCCTCAATTTTTAAGGAAGGGAAAAACTACCTCCATTTTGTTTACTCCTATTGCCCAAAGCTTCAGAAATAAAATTCAACATATCAGATCAACTGCAATGTCTTCTTTTCTCCCCTGTGCTTCCTTTGGTTTCTCAGTCTAGTGCCAGTAAGTCTTTACAAAGGTTTAACATCCCAACTTTACATTTTGGCCCGGTACATCTTGTTCTGGACCAGAAATTGACCCTTCTTGGGTCAAAAGGCTGATTCTCAGCATCTGCCTCTGCTTCCATTTCAGCTCCTCTGGGTTCCCCTTTCTAATCTCTTAAGTCAGTTGGAAAGGCCCTAAATCATGTTTCCATTGGATAGGAATATCCATTTTCACTCTAAATAGACTGAGAGAACAAGAGTCAGGAATGAGCTCCCAGAGCTATGTAAGTATGATCAGGAAGTCCAGGCCCTTATGTATCATGCCAGGTCTTGAGTTCTGTATAATCATGGAGGACTTAGCATCTGTTGTCTCCCATCAGCACTCCCCCACCCCAGAAGAAGGAGGATCCTCCAAGTGAGATGAGGAGGCAAGTGCTCAATGATCTTCATATATTCAGGAATGAGACACAAATTTCCTCTGGTAGCTTCCTTTCCCTTGGTTCTTCTCTGAGGTCCCAGGGCACTGGTAGTCCTCCCAGTTATTCTGCTGGAGCTGCAATGCTGGTACAATGAGGGAGGATTCAGGGAGTAGAGATTCAGAGATTAGGAGAGTAGCTGGGGCAGGGAAGCTGCCGGTGAGATGGGGTTACTGTGCCTAATTTCATAGGGTTGTCTTATTTTCCCACCTGTCTTCATTATTAGCTACTAATCTCCACGAGGGTGGAGACTTGTCAATACTGTGTCTGTTCTGCTCACCATTATAGCTTTAGTGCCTCGCATATTACCAAACAGTGTTTAGTAAATGCATGCTGAATGAACTACCTAAGCTCCAAATCTTAAAATATACAGGCAAGAGCCTAAAAGTTCTTTCTGGAATCTAAACACTGTTCTTTGACTACAAAGTGGGTTCAATCACTGCTGGACTCCTCATTAACCTGTATCTGACCTTTCCCACCAAACTTCTCAGTGATACAGATAATAATTCTTGTTTTATAGGAGTGCTGAGCACTAAATAAAGAATGAAAATAGTAGTAGCTTCTCAATAAATTCTGCTTTATTGTTAGGTTTGTAAGCTCTAAGCATACTCCCTACCTAAGCTGACCCAAGGTTTAGAGATAAGGGATTGGGCACTAGGGCCCAAGTCTTCGGTTTCTTCGGAGTCCCCCATCCCTACCCCAGGGAATCAGCATACACTTCTCTCCCAGGGGATGTGGGGACAGTTGGTACTAGAAGGGGCCAAGATGGATGGAAAAAGAAAGGGGAAGAGACAGGAGAGAGACTGGAGGTGGTGAGGGAGATAAGAACAGAGAAGAGACTGTTAGTGATGAAGGCAGGTTGGAAGAGATAGTCAAGAGAACTGGAAGAGAAGGAAGGGAGAGAGGAAGATCATGGTAGGGGGAAAAGAAATAAGCTTGGGAGTTGAACACTGGGAGAGAAGGGGGAATGTGAAAGGAGTGGTTGGAGGCTAAAAAGTGAAAGGAGGAAGGTAGCTAAGCCTGGTGGGGTAAAGAGAAAGGGTAGAAAGATACAGAGAGAGGAACAAAGAAGAAGCAGGTAGTGCCACAGAGGAAAACAAGAGGCTGGAGAGTCCCCAACACACAGATATAGGCCCAGCTCCCAAGGGGAGGGGAAGGAGCCACATCTGTGTTGGATTGATCGGGTTGGTGGCAGGCAGCAGGTCAGGTTTAGTAGGCGGTGCTGGTCTGGAGAGAGGTCATTGCACTATTTTCAGCAAAAGCCCAACCCCCTCCCAGCTCACCACCTCCTCCTCCACCGCGCCCCCCCCCCCCCCACTCTCCTTACCCAGGCTGGAAGGCCTAGGGGCAGGAGGTTGGGCTGAGAGGGCAGGGGCCTCTTGGTGTAGGAGAGGAGAGAGAAACTGAGGGGCTGGGCTTGGCTCCCAGAAGGGCAAGGGGGCTGGGTTCCCAGGATGAAGGCTGGGGTGGGAGAGCCCGAGAGGGTGGAGGGAACTAGGGCAGGCACTGCAGCCTAGGAGAGGTGGGGGCTGGGGTCCAGGGCTGAGTGCTGGGGGAGGGGAGGAAGGGGGAGGGGAGCGGAGGCCATCTCTGCTGACAAACACCTCCCCCGATTAGCAGAGCACAAGTCTCTTATTAAAGCGGGTCCCTGGGGATTAGACTATAAAAGTCTCTTTTTCCTTTTCCCCTCTCTCCCTCCCCTCCCCTCCGCTCCCCCTCCCTCTCAAAAGAGCTCAGCTTGGCTCTTAAAGGGGACGTACAATACCTGGCTGGAGACCCAGTTCCCTAGTTATCCAAGTCCTGAAGTAGAATGAGGGCGGAAGTTTGGGTAGAACCCCACCTACTGGTGTCCTTCCTGGTCCCCCCCCAGCCTAACCTGCACTGTCCGATCCATGCACGCAGAGTGTATTCACTCCCTGCATCCCCATTATGAGGACTAACTCTGGGCTCAAGCCGGTTGGTTAAGGGATGCTAAGGATAGAAGGAGGCAAGGGGAAGTCTACAGCTCCATCACCAATTCTGAAACTCCTCACACACACTATACCACACAGACCAGAGTATCTTTTTCCTCTGTACCCTTCATCTTCTTCCAGCATACTCTTCAGAATTCCTCTACAACTGTTTCATAGAATCCCCACCCCCACCCCTGCCCTCAGTCAATCTTAGACTGATCCTAGCTTCTATAAAGTAGAAACCTTAAGAACACAAGGGAGACTGAGGAACCCAGACAGATCCCAGGCTTTCACCAACCACCACCACCCTCAGCAAGTTTCCTAGTCCTTGGGGTTTTCTTTTCTTTATAAGCCTGGCCAAGTATTGTGCCTTTAGGGTCTGCAGAAAAACTGGTGGCAGTAGGAGGCACTCAGCCTCCCAGATGCACACCTGGGTTCCTGTGCCTCTCCCATGGGGGTGGGCCACTAGGAGTCCACCTCAGCCCCCAGCTTTTTATGACCCATCTGCCAATAAACCAGTCCCCCCCCCTCTTCTGTTCAGAGCCATAAAACTGAACTATTGTGGGGGGGAGCGACTTTGCCAAACCACTAGGGAATAAGAGAGGGCCTGGTTCCCTGGAGTTGGAGCCGGGAAGGGGTGAAGGGACCTCAGTGGGGGAGGGGAAAAGGGAGTCATCTGACCCTAGGGAGAGCTGGGGGTGGGGTGGGGGGGTGTTGGCCTGGATTTTCCAGGCCATAAAATTTCAAAGCAGCTCAAGTCTATTAACATGTTCATCTTCCGTTTGGCCAGGGGCTTGAATGCCTGGGTTCCCCCTCCCTCCTTATCTATTTCTTTCTTTTTCTCCCTAGGTCTCCCTCTCTCCTCAAGTCCAGTTTTGAGTAGGGGCGGGTGAATAAGGAAAGGAATGATAAGCTTTGAGTAGCCAAACGGGTGCCCTTAGCCCCAGCGCAATGGAGTTGAGTTCTGTGAGCCCGGTCAGTACCGAGAAGGCACAGCTTTCCCAGCCCTTTGGGAGACCGGGTGTCAGAAGGGCTCTGGTGAAATGGGTGCCCGCTGGGCTGCCAGGAGAGACACCGGACTGTGGGAGGGACCTCATTCCTGCTGGAGGGAGAAGAGCACTCAGCTCTCTGCAGCCCGGTGGGCGCGTTGCGGAGCGGAGGTGGAAGGGGTGGAGAGTTGGTGCCAAGGCCACTGGGAGCAGAGAGCTCTGCAGCCCGCCTGGGACTGGGGGGGCGGGGGCGTCCCGAAGCGTCCCGATTCTGTTCTCCAGCCTCTCCTCCATGGCCCTTCAGGACTGAGTTGCTGCCCTTTCCACTCCGCTGCGAATGGGCTCCAGCTTCCCCACACTCCCCGAAACGGGTCTTTTTTGCATGCCCGGGGTGGGAGGCGGTATCTCGAAACCCTCTCCGTTTGCCCTCCCATCTCGGGGAACGGAGTGTGCACACAACTCCGCAGCCCGTCTCCACCGCTCGAAAAACTTCTATGGAGCAGCCCCCGCCCCCCAATCCGTCAAGTTTTCGCAGAAAAGGCTTCTGGGCCGGAGCAGCCGGGAGCGCCCCGCTTCGGAGCGGGAGGCGCTCACTTTCCCGGAGCCCGAGCCAGCACCCCACTGCTCGCGCCCCGCCGCCCACTTACTCTCCTGGGCCATGCTAATGACAGTCTCCGTGGTGGCGTGGTACTCGTCCTCCTCCAGGAAGTCCTCGGGCTGCAGCGCGTCGCCCTGGAAGTCGTGCAGGTCCAGGATCTGCTGCAGCGGCGGCGCCTTGGGCAGCAGCTGCTTCACCACCTCGCGGCTGATGTTGGGCGCCTCCTTGAGCCGCAGTTTGCTCAGGATCTGCGACTTGATGCTCTCCAGGCGCAGCTCGCGGCTGTGCTGCCGCCACACGCACACGGGGCAGCCGTCGGGCTCCGGCGCCACGGACGGGGCCGGCCGGCTCGAGCGCTCCCCCCCGGCCCCCGCCGCCGCCGCCGCCGCCGCCGCCGCCGCCGCCGCGGGGCCCTCGGCCGCCTCCCCCCGGGGCCGCAGCTCCAGGGCGAGGAGCAGGAAGCCCAGCAGCAGCGGGGCCGCGAGCACCATGCTGGAGGGGAGGGGAGGGAGGACTGGGGGGCGGGGACGCCGGAGTCCCGCAGGGAGGGGGCGGAGGGAGAAGGGAGGAGGAGGAGGGGGTCCGGGCGGCGCGGGATTGGGGGCTGCCCGGCCGAGGGGGGGCCGGGGGGGCCGGGGGCGGCGGGCGCGCGGGCGGGGCGGGCGGGCGGCCGGGGCGGGCGGCTGGGGGGGCCCGAGCCCGGGCCAGGCCCTTTATAGCCCCGGCCCCCGTGTCGTCAGCGGCCGCGATTGGCTGCGGAGCCAACAAAAGAGGCAGCGCTGTCATCCGAGGCGAGAGAGGGAGCCGGAGAGAGCCGAGGAAAAGAGAGAGAGAGAGGGAGGGAGCGAGGGCCCAGAGAGAGATGAAGAGATACTGGGGTGAGGGAGAGGAAAGGAGAGATAGAGAAAGTCAGAGTCAGAGAGCCCAAGGAGAGACAGAGAGATAGATAAAGGGGCAAGAGACAGATCAGACACAGAGATAGGTAAAGCAGGAGGAAGAGGAGAGAGAGAGAGACAAAGGGGGATAAGAGAGAGTCAGACGGGAGAAGACAGAGGAGAGACTTAGCTGGAGACAGAGACAGAGAGGCAAAGAGACTGGTATAAACTAGTGGGAGAATTAGAGGGGGAGAATCAGGGACAAAGACAGGGGAGAGAGACCACAGGGGGAAGAGATGTATGGCTAGACCGAAGGAAGGGATGGAAGTCCACAGAGCCTGACCACAAGAGTCAGGGGTGCAGAGAGATGGGAACAGGGACAGAGAAACTGATGGCACAAAGACCAGAGTCCTGGGAAAGAGAGAGAGGGAGAGAAATCAAGAGGGAGAGGCTTGGGAGATGCCGAGGGAGCCCCTGAGGAGGCAGACACAGAGGATCAGGGGAAGGCAGAGACGAGAAGACAGAGAGTTTTGAGGAGAGGAAAGACAGCATGGTGACAGGGTCAGCCTTGGTGGGAGTATGGAGAGCCTGAGGGGGAGGAGGTGGGGAATGTGAGCCCAGAGGAGCCCCAGCTACTGGAGGTAGCCCAAAGGAAATGTTTAAAGAAGCCATGGAGGGCAGCATCAAGCTGGGCTCATGGGGAGCTCAGGAACAGTGAGATGGATGGAAGGATGGGACATGGGGGCTAGCAAGGGAGACCAGGAGACAAAGAGGCCAGAGATAATCTGAGCAGGTGGGGAAGTGGTGGGAAGCCCTGAGACAAGAGCAAGTCTTGAGGGATAGAGAGTCAGCAAGCTGGAAAAGGCAGAAGCAAGGGGCCACTGGGCGGGGGTGGGGTGGGAGGAAACAGGAAGCAGGCTGGAGACCGCTGTGCTTGCAGAGGAATCTGGACCTCTGAATTCCTAGTTATACTGTTGCATCTGCAGGGTCTTGGAAGTCTGAGAAGGCTCTTGTAATTGCAGGGGTGGGAATGAGAGAGATGTCTGAGTTGGGGACAGCAAGTTGCAAAGGGAGAAACCCAGATGTGGGACCAGCCCTAGTTTCCAGGTGTGACCCTGGGTACAGCCAGAGGGCAGAGTGGAAGAGTGTTAAAAGGCTCCTCAGGTGCTTGACTTCTGGTTCTGGATTCCTCTTCTCAGTCCTCAGTTTCTCCAGGCTGATTTCTTGAGTCCCAAGCCCTGGAGGTCAATAGACAACCAATAGATTGAAAATGTTTGAGTGGGGTGTGTGTGCCTGGGTGGCTCAGTCGGTTGGGTGTCTGCCTTTGGCTCCAGTCCTGGGATTGGGTCCATTGGCTCTCTGCTCAGCGGGGAGCCTGCTTCTCCCTCTCCCTGCTGCCCCCCCCCCCGCTTATGCGCGCTCCCTCTGTCAAATAAATAAATAAAATCTTAAAAAAAAGAAAGAAAGAAAATGTTTGAGAGGATCAGGTCTTGCTCTTTTCCTGGTACACACGATGTTTACTGAGTAAAGAGATGAACGTTATTGGGCTTCTCAGGCAGAATAAAGAGACACCAGTTTCATCTCTGTATTACAGCCCAAGAGAATGTCTTAAAATGGCTTTATGGAACACCAGGTATAAGGACAAAGTTGGGCTGGGGAGCTGTGGTGAAATGAGGAAAGAAACTGGAGGTCCAAGTGTGAGGCAGGAAGGTTGGGTGAGGCAGGCTAGGGAGCTTTGAAGAGATGAACATTTCCGTGGAGAACAGACACGAAGACCGCAGCAGAATGCAATACATGTAGACAGCTGGTTCTCTCCCTTGTTTTGGACCAAGACATGGGCATCTCAACATTTCATCAACTTTCTTCATCTATAAAACGAGTATCACACTGTCCCTCAACTAGTTGTGAGGATTACAAAGTAATCAATAGTGGCCTTCATGTGCTCTTTCTTCATGATTCTCTTCTTTCCTTTCTGATTTCTTAGACTAGTGATTGCCTTTATCACATATTCTGGCATAGTCCGTTCTCCAAAATATTTCTCTGATGTCATTTCCTCAGTAAAATGGCAAACTCCTGGAGAGCCGAGGTGGTGTCACCTCCTTCTCCTTCCTCAGAGAAGGTAGCCCAGCCTTCACTTTCTCACCAAGCATGTTTCTACTGGTAGGTCTATGAGGGATGCAAAGATAAATTTCCTCTGGAAACATTTAGACTGGACAGGACACTAGATAAACGGTAACAGCCAAAACTCCAAGCCAGATGCCTCCTTGATATTTCCATCTGGATGTCCCAAGGCACCTCAAACATCATGGGTTAAATATGATAATTAGATAACTCCTCTCCCCCCAAAATGTGCCCCCATGACAAGCATCCAGGCCAGAAACCTGGAGGTAGACTTCACCTTCTTTCTCTTGATCATCTCTGAATCTTTGCATAAGTTGTTTCCTCTTCCTAGAACAACTCCCCTTCCTACCTCCACTGCCCCCACTCCCCAGTCTCTTGGCCAAATTTATTCTTTCTTCAGGTCTCAGTATAACCAGATTTTAGACATGTGTCTTCCAGGAGTTCGTTGCTGACTCCCAAGCCGAGAGTAGATGCTCTTCCTCGCTACATCTGCACCATTCTGTGTGCATGAGGTTTCGGGAGCAAGTTACTCTCACATAGCTTCTAGACTAGAACTAGGCTGACTGGGTTCAAGGTCCAGCCCTCCCACCTTTCTGGCAGTGTGAACTTGGCTTTTTATGCCTCAGACTCCTTATCCTTAAGATGGGGATGACAATATTGTAGCTATTTCATAAGGTTATGAGGATTAACTGCCTGACCCACAATTCTTTTTTTTTCTGACACAGATTTCTTTCTTTTTTTTTTTTTTTTTAAGATTTTATTTATTTATTTGAGACAGAGAGAATGAGAGACAGAGAGCATGAGAGGGAGGAGGGTCAGAGGGAGAAGCAGACTCCCCGCCGAGCAGGGAGCCCGATGCGGGACTCGATCCCGGGACTCCAGGATCATGACCTGAGCCGAAGGCAGTCGCTTAACCAACTGAGCCACCCAGGCGCCCTCTGACACACATTTCTAAATGAGTTATTAGTCATTACTATTACCCCCATTTATCACCTTACACTGAGAGTGGGACCCAAGAGAGCAGGAAATTTTTCCACCAAAGTGTTCCTTAGCTCCTTTGAATGAAGAATGAATGAACTCTGTTAACTGGATCTGGTCAGAGCCGGGTTGGGGAGAGAAAACTGGGTATTTATGGCCATGAGGAGTTATGGGTGTCTGCCAAATGCCAGAAAGCAAGAGTCAGGAGCAACGTGTGAGACAGGAAAGGATTTCCACCTCCTGGCTTGGTCCCCACCAGTTCCAGGACTGGGCTTAATCCAATGAGTGAGCAAGACTGCCATCTGGTGGTAGAATCTGGAATTTTAGCTTCTTGGAGGTGGGACTAAAACTGTTTTGTTTTGCATACTTTGCATATTTTCACTTTAGATTTCTAGTCCAAGAAGTTCTATATCATAATGCATTAAGCCTTGTTCCTCTCTCCAGCCCCTCCTACATCTTGCTTCTTTCCTTAGTTCCCTCAGGTTTGGTTACTGTTGGGTTCCCCTGAGTTGCAGGAACTAATAAATCCCTGGGAGGTCTCTTTCGGGAGCTTCAGACTTCCAGCTGCCCTAGACCTAGTTCCCAGGTGGGTGCCCTGCAGGCTTCACGGAAAAGGAGCTGGGAGAGATCTGGACCTTTAGCTCTTTACTCATCCCAATACAGGCTAACCAGGGGTTGGGGCCCCGCCCACTGTCCTGGTCTCCCTGGCAACTGTCTTCCTGCCAGGGGTCCCCCTCTCCGGCGTTACCCAGGCAACCTGCAAGGCCCGCCTCCTTCAAGGTCCTGACTGGTTCACAGCAAATGTGGGTCGGGGCCTAAGGGAAAGCCTTAGGGTTGGAAGACAGCGAATCGTGCCTGGAGAGAAGCAGGAGGTGTCCCAGAGGGAGGGAATGAGGTTTCAGGAGCTACTGCAGGAAAGAGGGGCTTGTGTAGCCTCCGGTAGAGGGTCTGTGCCATCCTACAGGGAACTGTAGCTCTTGGGAGCTGGGCGCCAGGGTTCAAGGCCAGAGACCCCGGGGCCACTCTCAGAGCAGACACCAGAACTGGAGAACCTCTGTAAGGAGGAGGGACTCCTGTTACCCTGCATCCCTAGGCCGCAGACTATCCCGCACACTTAAACTGCGCTGTCCATCAGAGGTGGGTCAATGGGCAGCAACTCAGGATCCCTAATGCCATCTCTTCTTTTTCCTCCTAAAGCCCCTATTTTTAGGATCAGTGGTTCATTCCCTGGCACCACTGGTCTTTCCAAGGAGAGGAGGGGCTGGGGTCATTGCGAAGCTGCTGAGTGGAAGTTGCTGAGGGGCTTCCCTACCAGGCTTGCTTCCCCCTTCTCCTGCCCTCCCAGCCTGAGCCTCTGGGAATGTGGTATGGGGAGGCTATTCTGGGCTGGGGCTGGAATGTTAGTGGAATGGACCCCTCCCAGGTCTCTGCCCACAAAGCCTGAAGCCCCCAGAGAGGACCTCACTGTGTAATTACCATCCTCTTGCACACCAGGCTCGAAACCCTATAATTATCCTGCTGGATCTCCTAGCAGGCCCGTTAAGCTCTTTAACCCCAAGGCCCTCGAAGAGAAGTTGGAGATCAGACAGAGGGCGCCAAAGAGTTTGTATTTGGGGGCAAGCAGGTGGAGGTGGAGTACAACTGGGGAACTCAGAGTCATTTGGAGTCACATCTTCCTTTGCCGCTGGCCTTCCTGAAGACAGCCCTGCCCCACCCCCCTCAGCTTCCCTTATCCTCTTAGGGCAGGCCCAGCCCTCCAACTCCACAGGTGGACCCTTTTTCCCATCTTCCTTTGGTCTTCCCAGGCGTCTCCCCTCTTTATTTCTTTCTCACCAATTGCTCCCTCTCCAGGCCCAGGCCCGACATGGGGTCCTGCTGGGGGCAGTGGTCAAGGCTGCCCCCATGCCCAGTTTGGCCAACAGGAGGCACCTGCTGGTCAAGGGAAAGGATGGGTCGAAAGGAGGGGTCTGAGCCCGAAGCCTGCTTCTCCTTTTCCAGGGACTTCAAAACACTGGGAGGCATTTGTCACCGCAGGAGGTGACAAAGTCTGATGTGGGCTGCCAGGTGAGGGGTGCTGGAGTCGGGAATGCTCAGAGGGAAGCTAATGTCCAGGAGAGAGCCCAGGGCAGTGAAGATCAAGGTTGTTGCCAAGAGAGGTGTGTGTGTGGATGGCCAGAAGGTCTGGCTGGGGTCTGGGAATGGGAACCAGAAATTAGAGATGTGAGGGCAGAAGAGACTTCTCTGGGCTCTGCCTGGGGGTGCCAGCGACCCCCAGCCACTCAGACCCTGCCTCATCTCCTCACTTCTGGTTCCCTGAACTGCAAGTCCACATGCAGGGGGAGGAGTCTACTGTGTGGATAGTCTGAGTGAATGCTCCCCAAGCCTCCTGTGCTCTGCTGCATCCCCCCCACCTATGTCAGGGGGCCCCTGCCATCCAGGGCTTCTCTTTGGCATAGCCCTCCCCACACTGTACTTTTGTCTGTGCCTACAGGTTGTAATCACCTTGAAGGCAGAACCATGTCTTACTCATCTCCATAGAGTCCCAGTGCCTGGCATGTTTAGGGCTTTCAATGGATGGATGGATCGAAGGATGCCCCGAGGAACAGATGCCTGAAGTAACCACCCCATCCCATCATTGCCTCTTCTCAATGTTCCCATGTTCCTATCTGCTCCATCCCAGGGGAAAACTTAGTTGTACAGGTCTGTGATTCTCAGGTGGAGACCACCGCCTCCTGAGCTGTGGCCCTGGATCAGAACCACACAGCAGCTGACCTCCTGGGCCAGGCTGTGCATGAATACGCCACGGGAGGGGCTGCCTGCCCTGCTCACTCACCTGCTGGGCACCTAGAGTGACCCCATGGGCAATAGTGAGGAGGCTGGGACAGGAACCAGACAAGGTTGGGGAGAATGAGGGGCCAGAAGTCAGGGGCTGGGGCCCAAGGAGCAGAGAAAGGAATAGGCAAGGACAGAGGAAGGGTGCTGAGGATGGAACCTGGGCAGTGGGGGGTGGGGTGGGGTTGGAACCAGAGCGGGGCCCTGGGGCTTGAAACGGGGCTCTGGGCCAAGGCCAAGGTAGGAAGGAGGGACGGAAGGAGGCTGTTGTCCCTCCCAACACTTTCTTTGGCCACCTCAAGTGGGGTGGAG